GCGTGCATACAAATTTTTCGCATTTTTTTGATTTATGCAATATTTGAATGCTTAGATTAGTTGCACTTTACAGTCTGGTCCTCCAGCTGTACGGCCGACAACTTTTCCAGTTGCTTTGGTGATCAACCTGTTAGCGATCCTGACGAATGCTTTGATTTATACAGTAATGAGAAGTAAACAGGCGCGCATTAGAACCAACGTGATTCTCCTCTGTGTGATAAATTGATCTCAGAGACTCACAGAGCACTACACTTACATATAAGCATGAGATATAAAGATGAGCATAATTCATTTATGCTGATCATTAGGTGGCACGTCGCTTCGTGCTGCACGGCAATATATGGGAGGATTTGAAAGTTGCTTTTCAGCATGTACTTTTCCATACGGAATATCCCTCAAATCCAATTGCTGGGAAGGCTGTTACATGCTACCGATGCAATATGTTCACCGAAATGAAGGTAATTCGTATGCTGGATGCAAAAGAAAATTTATATTTCTGAGCCATGCATGAGCTCCTGTGTCCCAAGACTGAACGTCCTAGACTGTGTAGTTTGGAGTTCAATTCTCGCAAAAGACAAACGAATACATGCATACATATATACAAACACACACATACACAAAAATACACACAAACACACACAGAGGCACACATACACATGTGGTTTCGCCATACGATGTTTCTTTGACTTATGCAAAAACACTGGAACTTATAATCGTCGTTCACTTCCTCCCTTTGGTGTCCTGAATACCCTCTTCCAGATACTCTTACTTCTGCTTCCTCCGCATTAAACAGATGCATATATGCAGCCAAGTTAGCAGGCCAGTGAACAAGTGCATAAGAAACCCTTTTAATACTTAGATGCAAAATACATGGAAGCAAATTTCGGATTGTTCCCAGAAAATTGTGCAGACTATTTTGAAATATTTTGCTGCTACGCGAACAGTATAAGCAGTTCACATCATCTTACAACGAAAACAGGCTAACGCACTAGTTGACTGATAATTGACGCCTAATCTGAGGCTCAAGTTGCTAGTTCCAATTCACCACTAGGAGAATTAATCCCTTCGCGACTGTTTCGTGGTAAATCGGTACCGCTACGCCGGCAAAACAAACTGCTTTCCAAAAGCTTCATCGGTAACTATCGGGAGAAGGAATAACAGTCCTTGCAGAGTTCAGCTGCTGTTAATCAAATACGCCTTTCACAGACACAGCTTGTGAATTTTTCAGACCGATAACAAGGGGATGTTAAAATAACTTCACAAGCGAACAGTAAAGCATGAGAAACGAAAAATCATTTAACCGTTTAGATTCTGCTCTAAACAATCAAAAACAAACTTCATTTTGCCGGCGAAAATCGATATTATGTTGAGAGTTGAGAAACTGATTTTAACTGCAAGGATAGCGCATGCCGTCGACTAGTTATCAGCTATCAGACACTTAAAGCGTGCCCAACTCAAGAAGGTAAGCGCCGAGTAACTGCGTACCCAGCATATAATTACTTAAATTAATCTTCTCGTTCTGCGAATGAGCCATATCATCCGAAGCTCCGATGGGCAGAAGCAGAACGTTGCTGCCAGTGAGTTGCTGGAACGTTAAGGTGATTGGTATACTGCCGCCCTCACGAATATAATCCGGGTCAACGCCATACACTGAAACGTATCTCTTTTAAAACTGAGCCTTACAAATTATCGCCTGTGAGGAAAATAGCTCGGAAAAACGACAACATTTGCTAAGTACTTGAATGAAATTGGATGAATCTGCTTTTCGCACTCAAAAAACAATTCATTTTTAATCCACCCTCTGCGAAAAATAAAGTAATTCGTCTGTGGGATCTGTGATAGTGTTTCAACCACCAGCGATTACGAGCCACTGCAAGATGGCATAGTAGCTAACTGCTAAACTGGGGCATATGCTGAAGAAAATTCCTTTTCTTATTTCGCTTCAAAACAAAAAAAAAAAAA